TATATATATTATGTATATATGTGTGTGTGTGTGTGTGTGTGTGTGTGTGTGTGTGTGTGTGTGTGTGTGTGTGTATTTTTACCTAATGTTTCTCTAAATTTTACATATCTTAACTTACTATTAACAATTTTATTAAATACTATTTTACCAAGTTTGGCATGCTTTTTGCTGAAGGTTGTGGACCTGGATTTCCTCTTGTTTCTTGACCTGATGCAACTTTCTGTCTCAGTTCGTTGTGTTTATTTACTATACTCCATTTTTCATTATCATTAAGGCCAATGTGTGGATTATTTCCGCATGTTTGTGCTGGTTTTGATGACTGCAATATAATTTTATAGAATTAGCTAAGTACACTCTAATATATTAAAATCAAATTTTTATTAAGCATCTCAATTATAACGCTTTTAAAGAGAAAAAAATTAACAATTTTTATTTAGTTGAAATAATATGATTTTTTTATACATTGGTGTTTAGAAATCTACATTATAAGCGAATAGTCTATTACTTATAATTACATTTTTAAATATCTTGTCGCGCTTCTGATAACAGTAAACACGGATAATATATGCTGAATTGTCTTTTCGCTCAGATGCACGCTTTTTGTAAATTTTTATTAATTTTAACATCTTATTAATTATTGAACATTGCAAAATAATAGAAAACTTTTCTGTATACAATATAATATTATACTATATAATATAATGTATATATGTATATATAAAATATGTTTTCTGTTCTCTTTTAGCTATTAAGATCTTCTTACTGGTTTTTAAAGAACACAATTTTACACAGAAAGGAACGGCTTTAATTTATATACTATGTGTTACTATTTAATAAGATACTTACATTTTTTTTGTTCTTTTTTTTGATTGTTTTTTTTTTGTTATTATAATTAGAAATAATAAATCAAAAATTTAAAATACATATAAATAGTCAGTCATATTAATATCTAGATGTATCATTTTATTGAAATTATATGACATGTGTAAAAGTCAATATGTTTCTTAACTTTAATATACAATTAGCTTAAATCTTAATAATAATATTTAATAAATATCTTTTAAGAGAAAGACGAGAACACTTGAAAAAATAATTATATAGTACATGAATCATACTATGAAGATATTATTATTATTATGTATATTTATTTTTTTAATATTATGAAGGTAATAATTTCCAACAGTTTCTTTAATTTTCCTGATACTTTTAGTATTTTGCAAAATGATGCCTTTATTAAATAATATGCTTAAAAATTTTTATAGCTTAAGTAGAAGTCACAAGGACTTTAATAAAAAATAAGATATAAAATTATAAAAATATTTAATGCGGGTAATCATAATAAAAAAATACAAAGTTTAATTAGATTATTAGTATTAATTAGATTATTCTTTTTAAATTAATTTTGAAAATATTATAAAAATTTTATATATTTCAAATTTGAACAAAATAAATCAGATATATTTAATTTAAAAACATTTTAAAGATATCTTTATTGAAAATATCTAAGATGTTTTTTAAATATTTGTGTTTAAATTTTGGATTTTCTGGATATTAAATATTGCTTTTTCTTATTTAATTACTTAAATTTTTGATTAGGCTAAAATATTAATTCTGTGAATAAAAAATTTAATTACGCAATAAATTATATAAATTATAATTTGTTGAAAAACGTTTTTAAATATTACAAAGAAACTGCGCTAACGATGATAGCGAACTTACAAAATGCTATTCATATTTGTTGCCGTTGTTACTTACGGTAAATTGACACATAGTATGAATGCTATTTTTCCATTTGCATGATTCTATGTTGCAGTAATCAACTGCGGTTACGCCTGTAACCACTACGATTACAAGACACAGATTGTAAATTCCTGTCATAATAATTTTTTTATTTGATATTCGTTAATTTTCAATCGCTATTTTGTCGACTTTCTGGATTTCCTTTCGAACTACTACTAAAAAGTAAGACAGAACACAGCTACAATTTATATGTAGCGCGTTATCAGTCACCCAACGGCCGTACCAATCAGTCATCCAAGTTAGCATTTTAATTTATTTATAGTTCGAGCATATGTTGCATTTTTTCTTATTTCTGTTCTCCATTGTCTCTGTTAAGAAAACATCACCTTATCACTTGTACACATGTATTATGCAAACATTAAAGATATTATCAATGTATTGTATACTTTTCTTAGTATCTATCTATTTACTTACACTTCAGTACTCATACTTCAGTACCTACGAAAAACAAAATATTATATTTTTTATACTTAATCACTATTTACTTATTTCTTTTGCAAACACAAAAATAATAATAAATATAATAATAAAAATATAAAAATATAATGTATAATAATATAATGTAATAATAAAATTGAGATATATTAATTATTATTTTTCCATATATCCTACTGCAAAAAAATGATTTTTATTTTGCATAGAATAATGGTTTTGCTGTATTTAAATATGCTGTATTTAATTTTAGACACAAATCTAAAAATAATTTTGTAACATACTTAATATGATAATTGTAAAAATTTTTTGTTATCAATTTTAAACATCTTACATAATTATTTTAATAAACATTGTTTTTAAATGTGATCATCTATATTTTCTATGTGACCATCTATATTTAGATATTTTATATTATCTATATGACTATATGATTATATGTATAGATATTTCAACAAAACTATTCTTTCCATATATGAAATTTTACTTGGCATTAACAACATTCAAATACATAATTTTTATTATTTATTTTTATATCATTATACTGCCAAAATAAAAAAGTCATAACAAAAACATAAATTTATAGTTTCTTTATATTTTACTTAGCTAAATAGTATTAAATATTTAGTTATATTTTATATAAACAATATAGCTGGCAGTATTAGAATGTTAATATTATTAATATAAAAAATTTATAATACATATATGTTGAACAAAATTAAATTGTTTTAAAATAAATGACTCAAATGGTAATGAAATATTAAAAAAAATAAATTAACAAGTGTTATTGTCTAAACAAATTATAATAAGCATATGTAATAACAAAAGATTGCCAGATTTAACAGCATTTATTTGCATCTTTACGCATCTTTGTGCGCCTTTAATACATTCAATTTTATAATCATAATTAAGTAATATGCAGAAGTGTATTAAAAAATACTATAATATGCAATATATATAAAATGTCACATTGACAATTGTTTATCATTAAAAAAGTATTCAGTAAATAATGCAGTAAAAAGTTTTATTATAATGAAAAATGTATAATAAATTTTTTTTATTACTTGCTTAGTTGTCAAAAAATATTACTATAGGAATATATAGTATATTTATTCTTTTTTTTTAAGATTACAATTTAAATAGTATTATTTAATTAAAGAGTATTAAATGTTGATTCTTTTTTACGTAATAACATTTACGAAGAGTAAAGTAAAATCTTTTTATTGTTATATATAGCGTACATTTTTTTTAGTAATCACAAAAATATATAAAAATAAAAACTGTATATGTTTAACATATTGTCAAACGCATTATAATAAAGATGTTTTAAATTTTATTAAAAACTGAAAAGATTTTAATAATTCCTTCTTATTCAAACATGTAAAATTTCATTAGTCTGATAGTTTGATGTAAATTAACATGTTCGATAACAAGACAAGTGATAAGACATTTGTTTTGTGCGACCTTGGAAAATTAGTTAATGCACACATGTTCATTATAACACTACGTATCTGTTTCTATTAGAAGCTATTGATAATATTTCAACTACGTCGTTAGAAAAATATATTCATTTCAACTACGTCGTTAGAAAAATATATTCATTTCAACTACGTCGTTAGAAAAATATATCACTCATTTACGCATTAGTTTTATATTCACAATAATTTTAGTAATTAAAAATATCTATTGATACGATTCGAATAATTTAAGTATTGTTGAAATTGGATATCCTTTTTTTTCTGAAAATTATTTAGAATTATTTTAAATTTTTTATATTTTTATTGCTTTCACTTGCTTTCAGAAAGATACAATTACATTTTTCTACATTAAGTGATTTACTGTTAAATCAACACAATTTCTTATAGAAATTCGTGTATTAATAAATTCAGAATTATCAAAAGCTATCAGGTGAATTGAAAAATCACACTCTAGTCAAATAAGCCTCGGCTTATATTCATTATATGCATCAATAGAACAGGACGACTGAAAATAATTCGATTTCGAGTCGCGCACTTCACTGAGAAATCATCGTTTTTTTTCTTTATACTCTTTTCCATTCTTACAAGACTGTTGGACGTCAAAAAAATAGGGGCCTTGGTGGGCGGGTGGCTATTCGAATCTCTAAGAGATGAATGAAAGCCAGGAGTCCATTCATGTGCGCACCTGACTCCAAGCTTCGAATCGTGAGAATCGATCCGGAGATTTTTCGAGATTTCTTTCTTGACGTAATAGGTATATTCCGCTTAAACATCTTTGGGAATATAGACAGTGTTGCACGGCAATGACGAGATTTCAGGAAGCTTTGTGACTACGTCTATGTAGCTTTATATTGCTAGATTACATACACATCTATCGCGTACATCGAAAATGTGCAAAAAAATTCAAAAAATTCGTGTACTATATAATTTTCGCCGAATTTGCAATAATATTTTTACTAAATTCTGTAATTATTAGAAGAAATATTAAGTAATTTAGATTGCAACTAAACTACTAAAGTTAATTTCTTTTATTTTTTAAACATTTATTTTATAAGTTATTGATAAGATAGATATTATACTACAATATAAAATGTATTATTTATTTAAAATTAAAGTATTTTTTATTTACCCATTAGATAGATTAACCTTAGCCTGATATATGTTTAAAATCAAGAAGTGCCTATTATCTTTTCATTTCATAAAGATGAAAGGAATTGGACATCTTGCTATTAACTTAATCTTTTCTGCAATAAATGTGTTGAATTCATAAATATAGAAAAATGTTAATAAATTTAAAAATATAGCAATTTCTATTAATGAACATATCGATTTAATTTAGGAAACGTTTTAGGAATTTAGGAAAAGAACAACGTCTGACACCTGTTGCGTTTTGTACAAACTTGTGTGTTCCTATTATTCTGAAAAGATATACCTGATCCGACACAAATTAAGTGCACACAAAAAATTTAGTAGAAGAGCTGACTACCGAATCCTCAATTTCTCATCTTCTCATACAATCTGAAAATTTAATCTGACACGCATTAATAATTATCCTCATCACACTGATAGATAGATTAGTCTTATGAGATTTATGAGATGAAGATTAATCTTATAAGAACATAGTAGATTTTATTATACTCTTTCTTTGCCTAAATATTATGTTATTTATATTTTTCAGAGGTAAAGAAAATTGAAAATTATTTAATAAATTTAATTTTTGAGAACACAATAAGCAAAAATGTAATAATATAGTAAAGTTTAGGATTATTAAGTAAAATTAAAAAAAAGAGAGATATTTAAAAAATTTTATTATAATATTTTTTAAAATTAAATTTTTTCTATTTTTGTTCTTTGTTTTATGAAATAAAAGTAAAAAAATTTTTTATTATGACACATTTTAACCATACAATATTTTATACAAAAATACATTAATGATGTTATTATATAATGTTGTAGGATATATTATAGGAATATTAAATAAAATTAAGAGCAAATGTATTATTATAAAAAATACATAAAAATGTTCCAACATTTTATTTTTAAAAATTTATATTTCTTATTTATTATTTTTTTATGCGTGTCAATTTTTTCGTAAATGTCATCTTCATGAAAAAAATTGATCGTTAATGTCATCCATGTTCTCCATCAATATGATCTTTATATATTTTGTCAGTATCTTTATGTTTCTCATTAGTGTCATCTTCATGTTTCTCTAATCTCTCAGATTCAAGGAGATCCTTCTTCTTACCATTCCTCGGTAGCCATGGTCGGGGTGTCCGAAATTCAAGGTCGATCTTTTGTCTTTTATCGCCACTATCACAGTGTTTTCTAATTCTCAATAGAAAAATATTTGGATTTTCCTCAAGATCGATTGTTCTTTCCATTCTTGAGCTTTTAGTTTGTCTACTCGGATAAGTTGTACGCGCATTTGTAGCTTTGTCTATTACGCGTGGATACAAAGTGACCGTGCGACATCCTATCTCCTCGCAAGTTTTCTTTATCCCTGGCATGTCCTCTCGAGGAGTATGACAGAATTTTAAATTTCCGTCAGCCATATCGAACGTGACACCGTCGTCGCACTTGATGCGGCTCGACGATGCCGATTCTTTCGAGGCTACCTGACCAATGCATTCGCACGGAGGATCGTACTCTTCTTTGACCGGTTCCTTCTGCATCCTGATGATGACGCGATTGTCATTGATGATAGCTTCGATTTCCTTGTACGGCTGCTTCTTTCTAACGATCTCCGATACAACTTTGTCAGTTGGAGTTTGCTCTGTATTGGACATTTCAATGTTCAACTTTGATTCACTTCTGCTCCTTGGAAACTGCTTGCTCACGCTTTCTTTTGAAATCACTGCTGCGCTTATTGGTCTACGTGAAGGTGTCGAGTATGTTCTAAATGCATCTACAGCAACAATGAGAACATTGTGGAGAAGCTAATGATAGGTGCGCGAAAGGAATATGCTCTAAACATGAGCGTAGGTAGAATATAATGAAAACTTTTACGATTAACGCAGCAACAAACTTCTCTTTCGAATGTTGGATAGATGTGCCTTGGTTTTTTTATCGTTTCGAATTGCGGACAACATTGTGATGCTCGTATTTGTGAATGATGTAAAGTTCTATCTAGTCTTCTATCTAGTTGGAAACAGCAAGGAGAACAAGGTGCTTGCAATTCGATTGGTTTAGGGATTAAGGAAGGTTTTACTGGACAGCCACAATTGTAAGTTGCCGTAATCATTTTTACAATTCTGTTTTTACGTATACAAACAACAGGACATTGAGTAACATGATGGTAAATTATTACATAAATTTTGAACAGGTTATCCTAATGGTGACATGATTTAAATAATTGATTTGTAGAAATAGGGAAATGGTAGTTTTCAACGTGCATTTGTTTCCTAACATAAATATGACAAATTGAAAAATCGATTTCAACAAACTGTACAGATCCTAACCACATCTTTATACAAAAATGGGACGTTAAATAAATAGTTGTTTTACTTCAAATCATCAGTAAAAATGCAGTTTTCTAAAGGTAAATATTAATAATTTGAAGAAAATAAACTTTAATTAAATTTGGGATTTAATTTAACATCAGCTTCATCCTATTTTTATGTTTGTTTTTATTTTTTTTTATTATATTTAATTATCTAATAGAATTAATAGAAAATGAGATAACTTTATAAATTATTTTTCTAAAATAAAATACGTACGTATCTATCTATATTCTACAATTTTGTTAAAATAATTTTAAAATGTTTTAGATGTATGCCTCTATCCTCCAATATCTCATTCGCCTTGTCCGCCATTGTCCTCATCAAATTCACTTGTCAAGGATGTTTGTTCAAAATATTATCAAGAGATCGGTGCAGAAATGATTAGTAACCAGTTAATTATCAGATTGGAGAAAGATAAAAATAAATCAAAAAAGAAACGGGAATGGGATCCACCTTGCGATTGTGTCGAAATTCAGAGACCAACGAGTAAAACAGGCCCCAAAATAATCAACGCAGATTATGACGATCGTATTATATTTCGCGTTCATTCGGCATCCCGTTTCTACGGAAAGAAAGAGCCTCCTTATACATCACAAACGCTCGCTTACAAAGTTTGTTTGCGATTCAAAATTTAAAAAAGTACCGGTTTTTTATTCGCGCAAATAAGAAAAAACAAAATAGATCAATATATAAATTAAATTTAAATCAAAGCGTACATCGAATCAGAAACTATTATTTATTTTGTAAACATTTTTTTGTACATTTATATAATTTTTTAATTGATAAATATAGTTTTATCATTTTTAATTTATATAAAATCTTCAGAAGAAAATATGAAAACAAATTGAAGGAAACAAACATGTTAATACAATTTATAATTTTAATTTCTTTTTGCTAAAAAAGATATATAATTAAAATTTTTGCAGATCAGATCATGCAGTGATGGACAAGATAACCATCAATGCAAGACCATTACGGTTTATCCTCACTTCAGCTCTGAAACGCAGGAAGTATACAGTGATCACATAACAGAGGGCAATCAGAATATCTTTTTATTAAGAGTTAAGAAGAAAGCAGAGCACTCTGAACAGAAAAATAGGAACGTCGAACTTGAACTCAGAACACCTAAACCACCATCAATGCCACCGCCTATACCTGCATCTGAACCTGAATCTGTAGTTGCACCACCGCAAGCCGTTGCCAATTTAAAAACAGAAAATATGAAGGAATTGGACACAGAGGAAGTTATAAAACAACCAGTGAAAGCAGAAAATAAAAGAATCAAACAAAAAAAGAAGAGAAAATAGTTACCAATCTAAAAGTAATACAAGTGTAATGTACTCACTTATTCTACTTTAAATAAATTCAAATAATTTATAAGTACATATCAAATAATTAAAAAAAATGCAATATATAATGTAACTATATTGTATAAAAAATCGAGAGAAGAAATCAATGATTTTTCAAAAAACGTGTTTTTCTAAATTTTAGATTTTATAAAATATATATAGTTTTGTGTTGTATCTAGGCATTCATCAGTAATTTTTTCATGAGGGATGGACAAGCATTCATTTTATTTAGATGACTAGATTAAAGAAAAATATATTTATGACTTTAGTAAACCATTAATGTAAATGAACATTTTTCTGTTCTGAAATTTAAAGAATACAAATATCATAAATTTTAATCAAATCTATCGGTAGCCTTTGATGATATATTCAGAAGAAAAGGCTCAGACATCATTTACTATTATGCAGGTAGAATGTTCAATACATGTCGTATATTGAATACAAAACTCAGCATGCCTTCGGCTTATTCATAATAGCCGTGCAAAATTGCTTCGTTATGGCCGACCAGATGAGCTCTTCATCTTTGACTCGTTTCCTTTTTTCCTTTCCTCTATTCAAAAGAACATTATAACAATCAATAATACAGCACGCTACTGGAAACTACATTGTTAAATTTCATATTATCGTAATTGCTTATTAACTTTTCATTCTTTTGACTCCTATATGTCGAAATTCGTAATAACTTTGCAATCTACATGTATGCCATTGGGTCAATTGGGAAAATATGCAAAAGCACGTACGTTAAGAATTATTTCTGCGTATTCTTTGCACAATTGCGTAATAGCATATATGCTTTATCTATCTTTATGACGAGACACTTAGCATTATGTCTATTTTATTCATAACTTTCTTCAAATAAAAAGCTTTATTTATTATTGAATCGTGAAATAACGCAGTATGGATGTCTGAATTTAGCTATTTTAACTAGCTAGTTTTTAGGGAATACCCGAAACATTTTCGACTTGTCCTCATCATATTTCCTCGGCATTGTCACCGATTCTCGTCGAGGCCGTCACAGCCGACGAATCACGAATGTCCCGCGAGCATCGTCCGCGACAACGGTCGTGGTATCTATTCGACGTGTAAAGTTAAAACGCACAAAAGAGGGGAATGTATGTCGCGATTATCGGCGTGTATCGAGGAGAGCGAGGCTGACAATGCGGAGACGCGAGGGTAAGAAAATGCGAGGGCGGTTGCGTAAGTCGTGAATGGCGTGGGAGTTCATAAAGGTGTCGTTCACATTCTGTGTGGTCGCGTTAAGGGCGCTGACAATGGCGCTGGCCAATAAATTAGAATGCCACGAGGAAAGAACACGCTCTCGATGCACACGGGGAGAAACGGCGTGACGAGCACGTTTGCGGCGGTGAGTGAAAAGCTACTCGTTTTTCCTGAGCCATGACGGGCCTAAAGAGGAGCCTGCGGTCGCCGATGAATGGGGCGACAAGTGACCGCGATATTATACGCGGAACGACTGTCTGCGAGCTAAGAAGAGAATCTCGACGCGCGAGATCGGACGTTTTCGGGATGAAAGAACGGCGATAATTCATAGGCCACTTGAGAAAAATGCGTAAAATCGAGATGCCTTTTCGCACGGCTCGACATAAATAAGATTGAAGACGTATAGAAGAGCTGGCGGTATCTTGATTAAAGGGGACTCTCGCGCTGCACAGATATTTTACAGATAAAATGTCTGTATTAAGGAAATATGAAAATAATTCCAATAGATAAAAAAAAATAATCATTCTGATTTTACTTTTTTAATCCTACGTTGAAATGCGGAAACATTTCGTCAGTTAACAGACTTTAATGATAACCGTTGCAATAAAAGTTTTGCAGAATGAAAGAGGATGGAAGTTATTAGAAGAAGAAATTAATTTTTAATTACAATGAAGAACGATAACATGGGAAATGTTTTGATTCTCTTTTTCAACAATTTACTTTCAGTCTGGTATAATTTGCTCGTTTTCCGTTAATAATACTAATTGTTGCGAATAATGGATGAATTAATAAATCAACAGGCACGTTCACCGCAGGCGGTAACGCGCATGATCGTTCAGGGTGGTCCATCGATTGTGGCATCGAAAACTGCAACCGTGGTTGCTTGATCTGTGAACGAAAGATAGGGGGGGAAAATCGTAATATCATCATTATATTACGTCACACAGATGCGCGGATCGGGGGTCTCGAGACCGCCGTTTTTATATTGCGGTTACTGTACCATTGTGCACCCCGATGTTCACAAAGGGCCCCAGGAAAACTCCCGCGGAGAGAAGGTCTACGACATAGCCAGAATTGCTGATTGGCCGGTTCCCCTGTCAACAGTTATGATAATCTGTACATATTTCCTGCATATCTTTTCTTTCCGTCATTCTTGATTGTCACCTGTCAAGATTGTCAAGGCATCCTCATTGAATTGGAAAAATATGTCACACGAATAGATTATTCTTTTCCATAATGCATTATGAGGCATCAGATAAAACGTAATAATTGCTTTACAAGAAAGAAATGTGATTTCTATTAAAATTTAATTCAATTATTTTTAAAGTTACATCACGATTTGAATACGTAATATAAATAAAAGGTAATTTATAAGGTAAATTATTATGCAAAGTTGGAAATGGTATCTAGCACTTTGCATGCTCTGAACGTTGTTAATATAATTAAAAATATTAAATACAATCGAATATAAATAGTTGTCATATAATATAAATAATTAAAAATAAAAGTAAATTGATTGTTTAGTCTTTATTGTTTGTAAAAAAGATTTTGTAAAAAGTTAATTGTAGTGATTGTGTTTTGAAAGTAATCGCAGATGAAAAATCATTTCAATCTTTTAAATTTTCATTTGCAGTTTTAATTTTACAGTCAAATTGAGATAATAATTGATTTTTTCATAAATGGTTGATAATCAAGGTTCCTTTGTTATCAAACACTGTTTATTTTACTTGAATTGAATTTTTTTTTCTTGGTTTCGATAACTACTTATAAGACATCGTTTTTAAGTTGACTGTCAATAGAGAATTGTTTGAAAATTATTTTAGGCCCACAAATTTTAGATTAATTTTTTTCTCCAAGTTTCAATGTAAATTTAAAGTATCTAAATAAAATACCAAAGTAGGTCGTCATTAGAAATATTTCGTTGAATGATACAAAAATTTGATTTAAAAAGATCAGAGAGCTATACTTTATTTGATAAAAAATCAAAAAGATCAAATAACTTTATGAATGATCAACAGTTATAATGAAATTTTCAACAATCCAAAAAATTGTACAAATTGTTGACAACAATCTCAATATTAATTCGGCGCAATCTCCTTTCAAGAAAATTGCTATTTAAAGAGGTACGATAAACAAGAAACACAATTACAATGTCAAACAGAATTTTGAAGCTAACATAACCGCTACTGATCTAAATTAGCAGATAAATAAATTAATAACAATATAAACTTGCTATGTATTGTAAGTTTTAAGATAAAATAGATTTTATAATATGATGATAATAGAATGCAAATTATTACAATATCTAATTATATTTTAACAAGTTTGCAATATCTTCAAATGACTTCTTAATAAACATTGGAGATTTTAAAGATAAATATTTTTGTCTTAATCAATTGTTGCTGTTAATTTTATAATAATCAAATTATCCAATATTTCAGTATCATTTGATATTTTTATGTGACTTTGACATTTCATATTTATTTTTAATTCTTTATGACATTAATTTATCTCAAAATCTTTTACAAACACAATATTCGCTTTTATCTGCTTTTAAAACTGCGATACTATTTTTCTTGTTTAAAGAATTGTCCGACTTATAACTATCTGAATGTTCAACTTGCCGGCTACATATTTTCGATTTCTTATTTTTATTCACGCATTGATGCGTGTTTTTATGTTCTTCTATTCGAGCGCACATCTTCTCCCTGCAACAGCACGTTCGATGTTCTCGTTGATTTTCACGATTTCGTTCAAAGCAAGAGGATTTCTTTAATCTTCGTCGCGTATGAACTGAGTCAGCTTTCACGCATTTCGAAGGATCATGCGGACGTGTTCTTCGATGTTTCTGCATCGGCTTTTTGCGCACACAACACTCGCTCGAATCCACTTTTCTAAGATTCTTCGAGAAACTTGGGAAGCTAAAAAAACAAGAAGAACTTAATTTAATAAACGCGGAACAAACGTGTTTCAGCACATTTTTATCGGTCTCTTTGCTATCTATGAACTCGTACCATACCGAAAAGAGGATACACCAGATGCATGCTATGCAGGCGCTGTTGCATATGGTAATACAATCCACCATTTCGCAAGAAACTTCACATTTTGCAATTCGTAGAGCAATGTTCACAGATTCATACCCTTAACAGAAAAATTTTATTTTTTGAGATACAATAATAAAAATTTCCAATTAAGTATTAAAAGCATCAACGTTACAAATTGCTATACAATAACAACATAATGATGATACATGAAGTATAAAACGATTAATAATCACTGTTCCCAGCTGTCAATTGCAACACTCCAAAACACGATCAGAAAAATAAATTCAAAATTTTCGTCAATTTCTCGTACATTATTATTGCTTTCCAAATAAATTTAAAATGTTAGAGATTATCACGTTATGCAACTACACGTTTTATATGTCTCTGATAAATTTTTGTGTTTTATATATGCATTTAACCTATTTGTTCTTGTATTTCGTATACTTTTTAAACTTTGAAATATTCGGCATGTAAGTTAATAATTTTTAATGTTTAAAAGGAAAGCTGTTGTTAGATGCTCTTTGAGTATAATAATTGTTATGTTTTACGCGTTTTAACGAATGTTGCGCAATCAATTATTGATATGCATTCATTATTGTAATTTCATTTTATAACGTTAATTAAGGTAATATACGACTTTTAAAATATTCTTGCGGAAACTTGTAATTTGGCATAAATATTTCTATAACCGGATGCACAGCGCATCAATTACTTTAATCGCAAGCTAGATAGTATAGTTGGAAACTGTAGAAACACAACACAAGTAAACAATTGTATATTAATGACTGTGATTCCATCTTGCGAGTCAAGTTAGTAGTTATAATAATCGTTTAATCAATTTCTCAAACGTATTCTTCGTTAGTCAATAATAGATTTTTAATTAATTAATTAATTATATTAAAAAGCTAAATTTTAATACATTTATTAAATAAATTACAAATGAATAAAATAAAATTAATTAAACTAAGTAAAACACTATATATTATTATTAAAATTAAGACCAATTACATAAATAAAATTTATATCTCAAGAATTAAATCTTTTAATGATATTATATTATTTGACAAAATTATAATAATATTATGAATTATAAATTTTTTGTTTAATAAATTATTTATGTATGATATGTTAAATTATATGCATCTTATAATAAAGTCAAAGGTTTTTTATTAAAAAACAAAATAATAAAATAAGAATTTCTTTCTTACAAATTGTTCAATTGTGCCAGTGAACTTTTGATTTCTTTCCGCGCGCTTTCCGAAATTTATTACCTTCATGCAAGATCAAAAATTGAAACCGATACTCATCTTCGTAAACCAATCACGTCGAAGTTTCGTTACGAAAATGCTGAGACGGGCAGTCTGTATTCTCTACTTAAGTTTACGCACGTATTAGGTGTCACGAACTTCTACGTGAATATTCTTCCTATGCGGTGTGTTACATACGTATATGATACTCGAATGGTGGGGTTTGGTATACTACTAGCATGAGGGAAAAAAAGAATCATTTTACTTCGAACAGATAGAAATCCTGAGGCGACAGGAATCGCGGAAGGTTCTTCACTCACCGAGTTCGGCTTTGCAGTGCAACACGCGCGATTATTCGTTTACGGTTGTGTGATTTTTCGTCAAGTATTGCAAGGAAACGAGTAAGTGTAGTAACACTCAAGATTTGTCTTTCAATCGCATTTTTTTTTATTTTAAATAATTATCAAAATGAATATCAAATAGAAATTTAAAAAAAGATAAAAGTTTTTTAAATTCTTTTTTACTTATAAATTAAATTGAATTCGATAAAATTGAAATCTTTAAGGAATTTTTTAAGGAAAGACTTTATGAAGAAAATAGATTTGTAGATTTTTCTAAAAGCAGTACTTTTAGCAAATTAAATTTACAGGAGCTGAACAGCAAAAATTTAATTTAGGAAATTATTTTCTAAAAAGTTTTAAATAGATTTTTAGTTTAAAGATATTTAAAATCAAAAGTATAATTTAAAATTTTCAATCATGGAAGCTTTTCACACAGCAGAATTGTTCGGCATTATATATAGGATATTTTAAAGACGTCGCGATAATTTTAAAATATCCCTATGATGTACATTAGATATTTTTGTTATATGGGTTGATTTCAAATTAATCAATAAAGAGAAAATAAACAAATATTCTATTTTTAGTTTTATTCTTGTAGTATTAGTTTGTAATTATCTCTTGTCTATGTCTATTGTTTATGTCTATGACATAAGTATGTTTATATTTATTTATATTTATATTTGTTTATTAATTCCTTTAGTAATATCTGCAATATATATATATATATATATACGCATATGCATCTACACATATTATGCTTTTCTTTCATAAATGAAATATTTAGAACAATAAAAATTTATTAGTTGTTAATTATAAAAAATAAGAAATTTGAGCTATCATTGTTCTATTCCTTGCAATAAATATTTGAATAATATTAAAAATCTTAAATTTCATTTATTTGTTTAGAAAATAGTTTTATTTACTTTTAATTGTACTTATTGAAGGCGTGAGTAAATTTGTATAAAGATATTGCTATCATCTTTTTGTGAAAATTCATCAAAATCATTCACTTTTGCGGTAAAAGAGAATGTTTATTGTGGATTAATTAATATTCAAGGAGCCGATCTGCTTTCAAAAAAATGCGCGTTCGAAAGTTGGGAATAATTTGAAATGAGGTCAACCTTGAGATCGAATTCATGTCACGCATTCTTCTTCTTGACGTTTAACTGACTCGCCCGTGTGTATTAATTCTGATTATTTTCTCACCTTCTTTAAGCAAATATTTTAAAGAGATAAATATCGTTTACTTGGCTCTGAAAACGGATGGAACCATCTTTGTAAGAATGATAAATCGCGCAAAACATACAACATAAAGAATGCACCTAACTAACTTATGTAATATATTTTTGACTAATCAAGTGAATTAAGAAGACATATAGAAATATGTGATTTACAAACATAAATGTGCATAAAAAAGCCGCAAACATATTATCTATGTTATTATGCATTTTCTGTATTTTATTCAACTCAAAATTAGTATCTTTATTAGTATCTTTTAAATTAGTATCTCAAAATTCTGTGAAGTCTGTGCTATAAGCGCTGTTCATCAGATAGTATTCAGAATTCGTAACTAAATATTTGTTCGTTAAAATGAGAAAATTAAACTGACAAGACGCATGAGCCAACGTTATTTTTAACAGTTCTGATAGGAAAAGTGCGAAAGTAAATGACAGATTCGATTTACAGAGATTTGCTGCAAATTCCGTTAAAGTTTTTACAAAGTAACTTCAAACATCAATGTATAGTAAAATGTAAAAGTTTTTTAATATAACGATGTAATAACAATATAAATTCTATTGCAGTAACAAATATATTATTGGAATTATTCTTCTCTTGCACCAAATCTTGCAATCCTCGCATCGTGTGGCTAGACAACAATATCGATTCGGTGGTTGTCTCAGAAAATCATGACGTTGTTACCCCCAACGCCGGCGCAACAGAAACGTATAGACAAGGAACTTCCATCTGATCCGGAAATGAGAAAACAAGATATCAAAATGCTTCGTGAATGGCTCTCCAAACAGTCGCATTTGCCAAATCACATAGGTTTGTTCAAATTATTTTAATTTAATTATAGACAACAACATACAATTTCAATGTTATAAAAATACTATAATTTTTAAAGTTTTGAATTATAATATGTAAAATATTAAAAAATATTAAAAATCTTTTTCTTAATAGAGTTTTTTAACAAATATTAACATTTTTTATCTTTTAAATATTATTTAAAAATGAAGAGAATAAAAGAATTAACAACAATGTTAACAACAATATTAATTTAAAAAATGTAAATTTTTATGATCTCTCTCTCTCCTTTTTTTTTTTTTATATATATATATATATATTTTTTTTTATATTATATATATATATATATATATATATATATATATATATATATATATATATATATATATATATATATATATATATATATATATATATATATATATATATATATATATATATATATATATATATATATTCTTCTCTCTCTCTCTACTATATATATATATATATATATATATATTATTTCGCTTATTGTAGATGACGGGCAAAACTGGGAGAGATTCCTTTACAATTGTAAAAAATAGTATTGAGAGATGTAAATTAATTTTAGAAAGATACTATGCTGTCCGAACATCCTTACCAGAATTTTTTGCTGCTCGTGATCCGCTATCTCAAGACATTCAAGACTCATACAATGCAATGTAAATAAATCTTACATTTTTCATGATTTCAAATAGATATCGAAAAATTAAAATAGCTAATATTTTAGGATAAAACTGAAAGTTTTAATTAAAACTTTGTTGTATATATTTCTAAACCAATATTTTTATTAGAAACTACTTCGTTCTGCCATCATTAACCGAGGAAGGATACCGTGTCAGTATTTTTCGATTACGTGAGACCGACGTGGAAAAGTTCTCCTTTCAAGCATTGGTTAGACGAGTTTTAATGGTACTTGATATTCGTTTGATGGAGGAATTTTGCTTGTCCAATATTATGATCATAGATCTCGAGGTATTACATTGCGTTATTATCTTTATTTGAAGTTCTTATTACGCTTTATATTTTATCTTTCATATTAAATTTTTAATATTCTCATATTAAAATTATAATTGTTACGTAATTATATACGTATACCCGCGAACTTTTTAGTATTATTCAGTTCTAAAGTTGAAATTCCATAAGCAAGTACAAAACAATAAAGTAATTGCATTTTTTTATTAATATGTAATAAATCTATAAATTAATACTTCGAAGAGAAAATCTATAAAGGATTGAAGGATTGATTACAGAATTAAAGTATAAAATACATTTAAAGAAAGATACATTTAAAGTATGTTAAGTCATCTGATTGTGCTAATGTTATTCAAGGATTATGTGTTATTTTATTAATTAAATATAATAAGGAAAAATTATTTATAATTGATAAAAATAGTTATTACGTTATTAAAGAAATTTTTTTATATCTCTTTTTAATTCTTATTTTTAGAGATAAACATTTTTAATTTATTTACCAGTAATAATCTAAAATTATTTAATATGAGTTTTATGTAATTTATCTAAGAAAGAAATTTGTTTTTTCAGAGATGTAGTATGGCACATTTCGCAAAGTTTAGTCCGACGCAATCTATCGTGAGGCGAGCAATGTTGGCAGTGCAAGATAGTATGCCTTTCCGATTATTTAGCGTTCACTTTCTTCATGCACCGTCATTTATAACTAATATAATCAATATATTTTATCCATTTTTAAAAGAAAAGTTGATTCAAAAGGTAAAGACAAAGATTTAAATAGAATAATCATAAAACAAGATTTAGCAATGAATGTATAAATATATTTTTTATTTTTGTAGTTTCATGTTTCTAACGGTGGCGGGGAAGAATTACATGCTTATATAAACAAGGAAATTCTTCCTAATGAATGGGGTGGTAAAGCAGGTACTTTTCAAGAATTAAATGGTAAATATAACCTATATATATTTTCTTTTATTTTAATTTTTCTTTTTTTTTAAGGAATCATAATATTATCATAATTTTTTTATAGTTACAAAAATAACTATTAAATGCTTATATATACATAAATAATTTTTATTAATTAAGCATATGGGTAGTACAAATTGAATTTAAAAAATTTATGATAGCATGGTTTCAACAAATTGCTCTAATCTATAATGTTATTTTTTTCTCTTATACACACGTAGCTACATGGCAACAAAAAATTGAAAAGAACAGAGATTGGTTTCTCCGAGATGAAAAACTGAGTCATACAGATGAGAAGCTTCGTTTATTGGAATCAAATACATCCTGTCTTTTAATGGAATTTGAAGGAATTCAGGGTTCGTTTCGAAAATTGAATATAGATTAATAATATCTTTATTAAAAATTTTATATTATTACATTAAAAAAACATTTAAATTTAATTTTTTAATCTATTTAAATTATAAATTACAAGTAGCATGTAAATTTTAACAAATTAACGAAAAAAATGTAATGTTGCATATAAATGGGTTGTTAGCGGTAATGGCAATTTTCTACTTTTAAGAAGAAAATTTTATATATACTCATCGCATATAGAATTAAATATTTTTGGGGTAATAAAACAGAAAAGTTAATCTATTATTGGAGAACATAAATGTATGTTTTTTAAATAAAGTAAATATTATAAAACTTTAATTTTGTTTATTAAATTTATATTTTTAGTTAATTGATTCGGGTCAATTTATTATCTGATGAACGAAGCTTTTATTTTCATTAGTTATTTCATGATATTAGTCTCAAGATAGCGCCACTTTTGTGTTTACCACTGTTAGACACAATGTTTTTATGACAAATATCAAGTAAATTATGTTATTCATTATTCAAATTCCTTTTATTTTTATCAATTTTAATACAATTCAAATTTTATAAAATAATTTGAAATATAATAGAACAATAGAAATATTTTTACATATATATTTTTTTAAAAATATGTAGCATATATAATGTGATAATATAATAAAAAATTAAATTTTATACATTTTATATTGTTAAAGAAGATATTAAGAAATATAATAATGTTAACAGATAACTGAGAAAATAACTCAATGTTTATTTCTTTCATAAGAAAAAATAATATACAATATGGAACGGGAAAGAAAGAAATTATGCAATTATATGTAAAGCTGTAATTATTGCGAGATCGAATAAAATATCTAAAAACGTTGCGCGCCATAATTTGCATGACCCAGATATGGTTATCGATGTAATAGTGGGCGTCTAATCGCCTGTAGTAGATGACTAAATCAATTTATTTCGGTTTGCTAATTTATTTTATACAATGTAGCAAAGATTATAATAATAAGTAGCGTTTTCAAATTTTATATTTTTTCGAAATTATTTGTGAATTACATTGTTAACATGTATGTATTTAACATTAAATGATATTAATGATGCCGATATCTCAATATAGTAAACTTATTTCAAGTTCATGAACAATAAGTTTAATAGAAAACAAATGAATTATTAATATTTAAAAAGCTTATATATATGTGTATATAATACGTGTAGTATATATATATATATATATATATATATATATATATATAAAATATTAATCAATTTTGTAATTGCAATTAAGAGATAATGTAATAATTTGCAAATTACCATTATGAATTAAATTGCAATTAAGAAAAAAATTATATATATTTTAATATGTTATATTTTTAAATTTAATACCAATCCATTTAATCATTAAACTATTAAATTTATAAATTATTACATTTTGCTGTCATTTTATTTCTAATTTATAAAATTTATTATAATAAATGGACAATTTTAAAAAATAATCTTTTAATGTGTGTTTTATCTGCGTTTGAATAATATATTTTTCGAATAAAGATTAAACAGATAAAGTAAAGGTAAATTGCAACAATTTTGTCTTAATTTTATTAAATTAATTAGCTATTAAGTTTATTTTAACGATTTGATTATACAATTTTATAAAAAATGCAACTTAGTTATTTTTCATCTTGACAATGACAGAAGATAAAATTGAAAAGTAATATCAACGTCATTTGGAAATATTATTTATTCATATATCCAATGCTTCTTAATTAATCTTCTAGACTTATTTATACTTTCAGTTATCGACTTTGTGTCTACTAAAGTGACGCCTACTTCATACAGAACGTTTGAAAACAGAATATTCAAGTATCGTAAATATATTCTTCGCGAGATAAGTATTATTAATGTTTTTCAAGATCAGTATCAAACAGAAATGCAAAGCATTCAAGTGATAAAAAATGAAATCGCCGTGCAAAAATGCAGGATAAAATAGCGCAGCTAACTAAAACAGTATCTGAAGAACTTACATATGTTCGCTGCGGTGCATAACATTGTCTTCTTTCATCCTCGCTTAACTAACTTAATAAGCTAATGATGCCTGCGGCCTGATGCATCGAATAGTGCCTCTGTTGTATCTATTTTGATTCGCGCCAAATATGACATTCGAGAAACGTTTGTTTGTCGCCGTACCTATTAAGGAGCGTAAATCGCGAGGGGCGTCTGACTATATCAAACTTTTTCCACTGCCTGCTATTTGAATAGTTGTTTTCTTCATTTCGCTCGTGCTTCAGGAATGTAATATACGATGCCAATTCTGAGCACACAAGGGATAATTAAAGAACACGAGTTAAAGAAGATACACGCATGTGTTTTGTTTCCGCGCTCCATTGTTGATTTAGTCTTTTGTTTAACCACTTGGCGCCTATTTCGATCCTCTTCCTGTCTCCTCTTTATCTTGACATATCGCGAAGCGCAGAGCAAGTGCGCATTAAGTGCGTTATCAGATACAATTCTCAAGGCAATTTCGCGAAAGTCTTATTTGTGCTTTATTAATCGTTTGATTCTGTTGCGTTATCACGTCACGAATGATTCGTCATTCATTGTTCGTAATGGGACCGATAACGCAATGATAAATAATTATTCCGTGTACAGCCCGAGTTTTGATTTGCTTTGAGCGTGCTCTGCATACCTAAAGAATCTTAGCGCAATAAAAGGCTGTTTAAGTTGCTTCGCACATAAATAAGACCATGCATACACACATACACACACAGTCAAACGTTTATTGCGCGAGGAAACTGCTTTCGCCAGATAAAATATACGTGCACGAAGCGCCGATGCAATTCTGATCTTACTTCATGCAAGCGCATCAATTCTGAAGAACGCAATGGATAAACAAGTCGATTTTTCCATACTGAACGACGCACTTTCTGTTCTTTTTTGCTAATTACATGCATTAATAGCGCTCATATCGCTATCGGTTACCAATGAGGCGCGCTGCCTAGTCATAAATCGCTGTCGCTCAGGTCGGAAAATTGTTTAGCCTGCATGTATAAATATCCACATATTGTTTACATTGCAAGTTATATAAGCATCCAAGTGCTCAATCGATATTATATATACGCATATTTGCTGTTGCTAGCAAAACATTAAATGCTAACTGTGTGCAATAAGAAAATTCCATTAGCATCTTTAAAAAAAAATAAGAAAGATATAGCGCATATTATCTCAATATACAGACAAAAAATTCGTGGTATACAGATGAAAAATTTTAAATGTTAATATATTCATAAAGTGTGCATTAATATATTCATTGAAAATTCAATGCTATGCCAGAGAGAATTTTATCAATCACTTTGTCAAGTAGATGATATTATTTGCCGATTCCCGAGATCGAAAATAGCTCTTGTGACAATCTTTCAAGGTTCCGTTCCATTGACTTCAAGGTAAACTTTGCGATGTAAGCAGTTCCGTAAACGTGCGAATATATCGCTATCGTCAGGTATCATAATGTACATAGCACCCGATGTGCGTCGCACGATCGTGGATTACTTATCAATGGGCCGCATATTTATTCTCCTCGCTCAATGTGTTAATGCATTGCGTATAAGGCGCCGTTTCCCGTGTTGCGATTTCAGTTGCGGCCGAACAGTCAAGTCAGAGGGAATTTCGCGCTTCGGTCGACTTGGCGAGAGGAGCGACTGTGCTACGTGGGAGGACGCACGTTGCTGCATTTGATTGCTCCGAAGCGTGTTTGTCGCTGCTTATTGGTACGTGCAAGCAGGACACGCGATCGCCATTATACGCACGTTTGAGTAATTTCGCGTATTAGATTTCCTGCCGGTGAGACCCCGCTGCGTTACGTAAGTATTGTTGCCGCGTCGTTGATGAACGAAAGTTGAGTCAATTAATTAATCGGCCAGATACACTCGCGGTGCACCGTGTGTATTCGCGACGGACTATCGAAGAACCATTAATTTCACACTAACTCCGGCGAACTCCTCAAGTTCTCAAGTTGCATTCACAAAAAACATATATCTATCAAACATCCGTTCAGTAAGACTTTGTTTGTTAAAAAAATTGGAATTTTGATAATTCCGGAGATAATCTTGAAATGGAATAATTTATGTAAAAAAGAAATACATCCAATTGAAAATGAAAAGAGAAGACAAAGATTTAAAAATCAGCTGTCTTCAACTGATCTACAGCTTCAATGTTTGCTTTTTTTTATTTGTCATTTTATTTAAAGACAGTAGATAATACTTGACGATTTAAAAATAGATATCTTTATATTGAAAATATTTATATTGAAAGGAAAAAACATGATTAAAATCTATGAAAGCATTAATTAACTTAGAAGAAATAGCTTTTGAATCAGAGAAGCTTAAATTAATTTTAAATTTCAAACAAACACTGCTTATAAGAATATAGGCAGCAATAGGAAACTGGTTTTTACTGCGGCAATTGAAGATATGATAAATTTACGATGCGCAACCGTTGATCCACGTCGACAGCTCGATGATCAATGCAATTCGCCTTTATTCGAGCGCGATCGTACGGTATGTGTCAACGGAGCGATGCACGTGATCACAATTGCAGTTGATCTCGTCCAGGTCGATAAACATTGGTTTCCTCGCAATCAATTGGAGTTTGCGGAGGTTGCGAAGTTTAACGTGGCGCTTTTACGCGCATCTCTGTTCAATTGCTGAAACCCCATAAAAGCTTTTCATTGTCTCGCTATTACATACGCGAACGTGACACTGTAACAATTAACAGTGACGCGACGACGGTGAATGGTGGTGAGTCGTACACACAGTCACAGCCCTGTCGCACAGTGCGGCGGCAAAGTGGATTGATTTTTCGCCCCCTGACGTCACAACGGATCCAGCATGCGCATGATGGTTAAATACGGTGCCGATATCGGTACCGACGCACATTGCCTGCCAAATGAGAGATAAAGTTTGTTACTTCATGACTAGTTATTTTATAATGACCTATTTTACCGCTTATAAGCAGCAAATTATTTTCACTGCCAAAGAGAATTTCGCCAGTATTATAATACAATATAACAATTATTATTATTATAATAATACTATTGGATTTTATCACTTAAAAAATAAATAGGATAATTTTTATTTTTATTTAATACATGAATTAATGTGTATATGTAGATACATAAATAAAATTAAATTTTAAACACGTATTTTTTACACTTTTGTTATAATTATTGTAAAGAAATATTACGTAACTAATTTATGTCAATTAGAGTCAAATTGTAATTATTATCTGATATTGTGCAAATCATATTAATGTTAATTGACAATTAAACGCGCAATTAATGTTAATTGACAATTAAACAATTAAATTTTATTTCAATTTATTAAGGTTAACATTGAAATTGGAGAAGCAGGAGTGATTATAATCGACAATAAGCCAGCTTATTGCTCTATTCGGACTCGATGAGGTTGTTCGGAGTTTCATTCAGCAAATTCCATTGATGATAATCAAACCCTTTAAGTGTTGCTAACAGCTATTGACATCGATAAGTAATAGTTATACAATGGTTATACCAGAGAAGGGAGGGTAAGGTCTGACATACGTGAAACAAATAGTAGAACAAATAATACCTCAATATGAGTGTATAATCGCGGTCATAAATATCTTTTTTCTTTATTAAGAAGATATTAGTCTATCATTAGCATACAGCACCGTCAAAATCGAATTAATTATCGCGCATCTTTAAAAAATTTGGAATACGTTGTCGCCAGATGATTTTAAATGAGAATCTGTTTGAAGATGATATTTTCTTAGAGATAGATTCACTTATAAAAGTCGAAATCGATATGTCGCGAGAAAAGAATATAGTCGAAGGAACGAGAGCAGCGAGTCGCGAAACATGTTTATGAGTAGAAAATAACACCAAGATCACGGATAGGGAGGAGACAGGGAGGAGAAAGCGAACGAGAGGGACGGTGATATCACGGGGTATAGTTGTGGTTCGGATACGCGGGGGAGCGTCGGGGTCACGGTGGGTTCATTCAGCGATGTGCAGTTGGCCGGGTGCCGTCTGACCCGTCTCGTCAGTCGTCGTTGCTGCTTCTATCTCTCTTTCTCTATCTCCTTCTTCTCGTTCCCTCTCTGGGCTTCATCCGCCGGCGTGTTGGAAACGCGCGTTCTCCCTACCCTTATCCTACCCCAACCCGTTGTATATACCTTCTCATCGTCGCCGACGCTCCTGCCACTGAGGCAACCCCGAGCGCACGTCCATCGACGACGGCGATTTCCCTTTGCTTCACCTCCACCGGTTTCGCGGTTGCTCGCGGTGGTGTATCTCCGCGCACGGCACACGTGCGTCGACATGACGGCAGCGCGACGTTCGACCATCCTCGTCGTCCACCTGGCCGAGCCTCAGCGGCAACGCGCGGTGGCGGCAGTGTCAGCTTCAGCCTCAGCGGCGGTGGCGGCGGCGGCGGCGGCTTCGATCGGCCGACGGTTCTCGTAAGCGGAGGTGGGTCGTAAGCGGAGCGATTTCGCTCGAGCGGTCAGTCGTTGACAGGTGGTGCGCAGTTCTACTCGGTTCACGCTCGAACGTGCGTTTCTCCGATGCGTACGTGCTCTCTCCGCGGGGAGAGATACGTGCGCGTCGATCCACGAGCGCTAATCGGCGCCCTTGTGAGTTAGCCATCCGAGGGTAGGGGGGACAGAGAACAATTGACCGAGCGGAGAGAGAGAGAGAGAGAGAGAGAGAGAGAGAGA